AACCAGCTTTTCTTCCATTAATAAGATTCATAAGATTTATGCAAGTGGATATAAATATAAACACATGAATATTAAATGAAATCTAGATCCCACAAAAATAAGATTTAGCTCTTCCAGAATATGTTTTTCCTAATCATTGCAGATCCTTACTTACAAATAAGTAAACTATGTTTAGTGGTCACACAGTGAAATGATGTATAAATGCATAAGCCTGATAGATTCTAGATCATTTACAGCTTAGAGCCTGAGTGGCAAGGATCCAACATTATTAGATGTAAATCTGTTCTAACGTCTGTATTTTTAGTACCGTAGTAACCTTCAGGCATATGTGAGTTCTAATGTACACAGTTATGTTCCTATAATATACCTATATGTAAATAAGAAATTCCCCCACTGTGAATGTACCCCATGATGAAGGTCCACCACCCCTGCTGAATACCTACTTAAGTCAATGATCTGAATTGTTCCAGTTCAGGGTGAAAGGGCCTTTGCAGACTGCTAGAAATAGTGCAAATTGAGTCCTCTTTAAGGGTTAGGGGATCTATGGGGACTGTAGTTTATTGTGGCACCAGAGCTCTCTGACTGAGAAGGTTCAATGTCTCAGAAAAACAACAATTCCAATGATTCCCTAGCACTAACCCTAACCCTTAAAGTGGACTCAATTTGCACTATTTCTGGCAGTCTGCAAAGGCCCTATGTGATGAGTCAACTTCCATTTCAGAAATAATAAAATTAGCATTTACAATAGTCTATTTTTAGTTCTGGTTCCATACACGAGACTGAGCCAGTATATTCTACCTCTGCAAAGTGTTGCAGAGCATACTTATAATTTACAATATGAGTAGTCCAATTGACTTAATGCTCAGCATGTTGTATGATCTCTTTAGCTAATGATAAATTAATCCTTTACAGAAAGTGTCACTGTGAGTGCAGGCACTGTAGGAGCTGTCCTCTAACACACAATTAATCTGAATCACATCCAAGTACCATTTCAAGGTCTGCAAGTACTGAAGCAGCACTAGACCTTTGAGACATGCAGCAAACTTAGAGCAATATTGAATCATTTCAGTATACAGCTACCATAATAGGAGTCTAAAATGGATCCTCTCAGAAACTACTTATAGAAATGTCACAAGTATAATACTATGAGCAGAACAAACTTTTGGCAAAGATAATAAACAGCTGTTGCAGAGCTCAGTTAAACCCAAGTACTAAAAGTAGAAAAAACAAAACCCAGATAATGAAGAAATGTAGAGATTGGCTTTCTGTATGATGTATTTGCCCCCCTGAATAGTGTATTCTAGAGATAGCAAATACTGAATATACTATTTAACTGTCCAGTATATATTCTATAGAAGAAAATTAATGTTAACACAGCACATCTTTAAGTATCCAATACAGGAAATGTCCTGCCCATATTTAAAAATAGTAAGCAGACATATTTCCAAGATTTGTAGACCCAGTTCAGATACAATACCACACCAAGAACTTAGATCCAGACCCCTCACAGTCCCTGTGTCAAACAAGTTTCTCTCTATTTTTCCCACTTCCCTCCTCAGCTTACTTCAATTGTGGCAAACAATTGAATACAATTGCAAACTGAGTGCAAAAGTAGTTTGTGCTCAATTAACTCAGCATGGGAGAAGATAGGAGGCGTGGAATCTTAGTGTTCCTTGCGGATTCAGGCAAAACCAAGGTATTGCAGCTGCTACCAGCTTGTGTGCTCTTCCTCATTAATACCTTTGGCCAACTTGACCACACTCTGATGACCTACACAGGTCTCAGTTATCATCTGTGAAATATTGGAAGGTATGGTCTTGTCTCAGCTGATACTCAGCCATCTTTGCTGATTAGGCTTGTATTCTGGTTAAACAGTTCATTGTGTTAAGAATAAACCATAATATGGATTTAATGGAAAACTTTTTTATTCAAAACTAAAAATGTATGCTTTCCATTTCCACTCAGAAAACAGGGCAGATATATGCAGAAGCCCAAGGCTCATTACAGCTTATTCTCATTACACTGAATCGTTTAGTCTGAACTGGCCCAGAGCATGTATAAAATTATCATGTATACCAACTTAGGAGTGTTAGGTATCTGTACAGTATTACTTACTGATGTTTAATATTAATACCATGTGTTTGTTTGGATCAACATAATACATCCATAAAATGTAATTATAATACTTCAAGCTAATTAGTAATCTCTACTGAATTAACCTTCCTATGATTTCTAGCTCTTTTAAAACATCTTGTTTATATTATAAGACAGTGCTAGCTTTCTGCATAAATGCAAACGAATGACATTTATTAGCTAGAACTCATTATGTAGGGACTGAGCAGCTGAATCATCTTCCAATTTCCTTCCAGCCCAGATTTCATGCAAAATGCAAGTGGAACTTCTCAAATCCATTCAGGATCCTATTTAGGGAAGGAAAGAATCATCTCCAAGGCCACCCAAACTACTTTGAAGTTACTGTGAACATGAATTTTCTGTTATTATGCAAAGAACAGATGAACAGCTAAATTTATTCACTTACAAAACATGAGCTAAAGATGCTTCACGGCCCACACAGCTCAATGTGAATGGGAAGAACAAAGATTTTAACCTGAATACCCCATGAGGAAAATTATGCCTCATTGCTTTTTAATCAATCCCTCCAAATATTAATTGGCCCACTCTAATCATCATCATCATACAAAAAACACAAATTATATCTTATCTTATTGCCCAGCAGAAAGAACCAAAAACAGGTTACAATAAATGGCCTATATAATTTTAGATGATTTCCTGCTGTGTGATCTATAACAAAAATTATAATGTTCAGTATAGAGGTGAGAAGCAGGCTGGGAATGTTATCATATAGTTTGAATCCATTGGTTTCTGAAATTGGCTTGGACATAGCAATGTTGTCCAGGTGCTTTTCACTCTTCTTTAGCAAGGCAGAGGAAACTACTATTCATTACTATCAAAAGAAATGGAAGCAAGCTGTTCTGTAGATTGCCAACCCAGCTGGGGGAGGGTGTATGCTGACCTTATATAACTGCAACATGAGACACAATACCTTAGTATGAGCAATTTGTCAGCTAGACTGTATGTTATGGAGTTCTGATACAGAGAAGGTGCAGGAGACACAAAAGGGAAGGGTTATAGTAAACAGAGGAAACTGAGGAGATACTTCAAACTAGATGTTTGAACTAGACTAGTAAAGGTGCAGAGACAGCCAGGAGTGAAACAAAGGAAGAGCTAAGTATTCAATAGTTCCTTTTATCTCTCTGTAGTTAAGCATGAGGCAGCTGCCTGCTGAGCCAGGAGAAATCTTCTCTGTATTATACTGGTCAGATATTCAGTTATCTGTTCTTAAATTTAAATCACAACATTTTAATCAGGGCAGACAGTTGTGACCATGAACGGTCTTCAGAGAGTGGCACAGGAAAAAGGGGTTTCTATAGTTTTACTGATGAGTGGTGTAAGGAATAAGCATTCAAAGACTGGCTTGACACTCTGCCATCACAATTGCAACAGAATGCACCCATCAAGGGTTTTCAGGTAAGCATGAAAGAAATAAGGCAGTGAGGAACCATGCTGAAAGGATAAAGTAAGAGGAATTAGAGAAACAACAGAGAAGAATACTACCAATGTCATATTTAAAATAAAAATAAATGCCAAGAAAATCAGGTGACAATAGCTGAAGTAGGGCAGTTTTGCCACAATATTTCCCAAATTTAAGTTACACAAGCTAACACTGTGCAAACAAAATGCTTCCAAGAATATTGCTTGATTCTTAAATTTCCAAAAAATGTTCCTGTGGGTGATTAGTACCACAGATTCAATGATCAACAGCTTGAGAATGTTCCAAAATTTCCATATTTCCTGAAAACTCTCCGGGAACTGGTAGCAGATATCTTGAGGATTGTCACTAGTCCATGAACCACCACTTTGGGTAATAATAATAATAATAATAATAATACATTTTATTTATAGCCCGCCTCTCCTTGTGGGTTACAACAAATAAGAATAACAATAAAATATCCTTAAAGTATACAGTGAGTTGAGTATCTTGACCAAAAATGTGAAATCTCTTTGTCCCCTTTTTAGTTTGCAGAAATGGAATGCAAAGATGTTCATCATCTTATATCAACAAGGTGGCTGCTATTTCTACCTACTATTGGACATATACTACAATGTTGGATTGTGTTGAGGGCAATGCTTTCTCCAGTTGATAAAAAAGAATTTGTGAAGGTTTTGCAGGCATTTCCAGAAAGGAAGAAAGAAGCCACCCCGACCTGTCTGGAGGGGCTCAATGTTGCGTC